GAGTTTTCTTACAATGATATGATACATTCTTCTATACAACAAACACCTTTTTTTTTAATTATAATTATCATCTATGATTTAATACTTTTGACTTTTCAAAAATTGATAATTTTATAGCAAAAGATTTGACAAATAATTTATTTGAATTACATATAATAATAAAGGCACATCTAAAAGAAATTTAAGAATAAAAAAATATCAATATGGATGCCTATTGTAAAGAAAAACTTCAATTTCACATTGACAATAAGATATGATTACTTTATCAAAATATCAAGACTACTTGCCTTTATGATAAGTTAGATTATTGTAGAATTAGACCATTTCTTATATTTAAATAAGTCAAACAAATTGCTTATTAATTACATCTACTAGGGTCTATAAAGATCCTTCATATATTTTTTATGTCTCTTCTTGAGCCATATAAAACAATTTATATCTCAAAAATAAGAAAAATGCCATTGCCTCTTATAAAAGTGGATAAAATTCAAGAATTCAAAGTAGAAGAAGTCTAAGATTAAAGGTGGCACTAAAATAGATTGAAATATCTTATTCATTGGCATGGATATGATATTAATAAATACATATAGGAGTCAACAAAGAATCTTATAAATGCAATAAAGAAGATTTGAACTTTTTATCAATGACTTCCAATAAAACTAAGATGAAAAGTCAAGTAATTTCCTACAATAAAACAAAAAATGTCCAATAGAAATTATATTTTATCTTCTATTTTTTATTGTAAATTCTTTATATTTTATGAAACTAATGAGATAAAAAAAATTAAAATTAGCAAATTCAACTCAAGAGCCATTATTTTCTGACTTATTGGATAAGATATTATAATTGTTACAACCATTAAGTTGATGTAATCAAGATGAAGACCTTCAAGAAAAAAATGTTCTTCCTTAAATGAATGGTAAGTTACAAAGCATTTGGTATCACAACCTTAGAAGAGACTTTCAATATTTGGTGATTTTATTGGAGGTAGAAACGACTCTTGATGTTGTAACAAATGTTTTTTTTGAAAGAAGTTATAAAGGCCCCAACAATAATCAAATAATAAAGGTGGTCTTCTTGCTTTACAATGGGATATTATGAATGGCTAAGAGGACTTTTCAACTGCCTTAAAAAAAAAATTAAAATTAAAATATATAACAAATATAATTTATTGTATTTTAAACTTCATCAATATATAATCACCACTTCTTATGGAATTTTTCTTTAGAAAGAGGAGTATTGTGATAGAAATATATATTTATTCTAATAATTATTTAATTAATATTAATAGATAGAAGTAAATAAAAATAAATAAATTTATAATATCTTTTAAAAAAAAAATTATAAGCTTCATAGATGTGATTTCATCTTCATACATATCTATAGGTGTTTGATAGGTTAAAAACCAAGCCAACAAATTAGCCATGTGTTGCATGTAAAATAGCTTGTGGTACAAGCTAATGATATGGCTTACATATAAGAAACTTGCCCTAGAAGTTAAGACATGTGTCTTGCGAATTTGCCTTATTTTTTGAATTATATAATCTTAAAATTATCCAAAAATTTTATAATATTACATTGAGATCTAATCTAAATCTCAACGAAATATATTGATAATTATTTTTTGAACCTAAAACATTCATATAAGTTGCAAAAGAAAAAAAAATCTATTTCTCATTTATATAGAATCAAATCCTCAATCAAATGAAAGTTATTATATAACTGTGGAGAAATTCAAAGAATATTACAATATCTTTAAAAAATAAACTATTGATGTATTATCAAATCATAAACCTTATAATTATAAAATTAATTTTTAAAAATAGATTCAACCACTATTTTGACTAATTTCTCATTTGTTATAAAACAAACTAGTTGTTTTAAAGAAGTGTATTAATCAAAATCTTATAAAGAATTTTTTTCAACATTCGAAATTTCTTAAAATTACACCAATTTTTTTTATAAAGAAAAAATAGATCTTTATAAATATATTTAAATAATTTTAGGCTCAAAAAGATTGACCATTAAGAATTAGTATTATTTGTCTTGAATATTAGAGCTTCTTAATTAACTAAATAAAGCTAAAATCTATATTAAGATATATTTAAGAAAGACCTATAATTAGATGTATATTGAAAAAAAAAAAAATAAAAGATTAAATTCTAAACTAAGTATGGCTATATTGAATAAAATATCATATCTTCTTGACTTACAAATATTTTAACTACTTTCTTATATTTAATAAATAATTTATTTAATAAATATTTAAATAATTTTGTATATGTTACTTAAATAAAATCTTTACTTATTCCAAGAATATGGAGGAATATGAATAACATACATGTTTTATATTACAAAAAATTAAAGATGTAAGATTATATGCTAAGATAGAAAAATGTATAATATAGACAATTCAAGTAGAAATTTTGAGATGTATTAATTTAAAGGATAATTTATAAATAAATCTATAAAATTTATTTATAATAGATTTTTAAAATTTTAATATAAAATTTTATTTATAATGGTTTTTAAAATTTACAAATTATTATGAAGTATATATTAAGAACTTCTTTTAAGTTATTGCTTGGCTTACACAATTAATTTCTAAAGTCAAATTGGAATAGAATAAAGATGTAAAAACATCATTCTAAGATTTTAAAATAGTTGTTATCTCAACTCCTATTTTATATCATCTAAACTTTTTAAAGGCATTTTTTATGGAAAATAATGTATCAAACTTTGTATTATGTGCAATTCTGTTATAAATAGATATAGATAAAAGACTCCATCATATTGGTTTTTTATTAAAATATAATTAAGCTTCCAACATTAATCATAAAATATACAACAAATAATTTTTTATTAGAAGTTCACTCTATAAATGACATCACTATTTAAAAGGTACTTCTCATGCAATTATATTTTGTACTAATTACAATATCTTAAGAATTTTATATCTATGCATACCTTAAATTATTGCAAAGTTTGTCAAATTATATCTTTATTAAAATTTTTATTTAATCTTATATGTTCTTTTAAAGAAAATAATGCTTATCAAAAGACTTGTCTAGGTATTTTTATCTTGCATCAAAAGAAAGAGACATTGTATATGATCAACAACAAATTGTTCTTGTAAAATTAAATCAACTACATCTTCAAGCTATTAAATTTATAAGTTTAGTTGATATTACTAAATCCTAAATTCTAAATTATAATTAATATAAATTTTATTCAATTAATTTAATAAATATTATTATTCTTAGTATTAAAATTAAGTTTTTTTATATCTTTAAAAAATTAGATTTTAAAGACAATCTTCTTGATTATTTGAAATGAATAGATATTTCAAAAGATCAATTATAATTACATGTATTACAACCACAATATGACTTTTTAACAACACAATAATTTGGATAAATTAAAACTTTAGAGCTTATCTCAAAAGATTTTGTTAGTGGCTTCAAATGAGGAAAGAAATAAAAGCATTAGTTTAATCTTATGAAACTTGGTCCAAAGTAAAAACCTTATATCATTTACCTTATGTATTTCTTCAACCTCGACATATTCTAAAGTAACTTTAGTCATTTGTTTTAAAAGATTTTATTACAAATCTACTAATCTATATTTCTTACAACTATATTTCTTATGATACATTGTCTAATCAAAGTAGTATTTTTTTTATCTTGTATAAAATCTATCACAAATATAGATATAATTATTTTTATTATTATTTATCTCTTATTATTATAAATAATTTTATTTTTTAAATTTGAGTATTAAAAAATTAAATTATTTAAATTAATTATGGACATATTATTTTTATTTTTATTTTTATAATTGATTTAATGCATACTCTTTGTTTTGGAATTTAGAAAGAGAAACCTTCTTTATAACAAAAAATAAAAAAATACAATAGACAAAATATTCATGATAAGAACAATTATCAATACAAAAGAATTAATATTAATAATAATATTATTAATGGAAAAAAAATCTACATGTGTGATTCAAGAATAGAGAATGTTGAAACTAGAAATAACAAAAATCTAAGTTTCGGCCTCAATTTTGTATTTTTTTTGGCAACTTAATATCAAATCTAATTGAGTACAATAAAACTTGAAACCCAAACAATCAAAAGTTATTAAAATGGAACATTTGAATACTAATGTCCCAATTTCCCTTTGCCCCTATTCTTAATCTTATGCATTTAATACTAAGATGGCATGGCCACCTCCAATGTCCCAAAAAGAGAAAGAGTTGCACTTTGTGCTGCATTAATCCTCAAGCCAGAAGGAAGCAATCCAACTAGGTAATTATATTGGACCGGGCATCAACCTGAGGTGAACCACCTACCTTGAGTGTGCCCACTTTACATCCACTTACAAAGTTTGACATCCATGTATGACTTTGAGCTTTGCTTCATCAAACTGCTGTGAATGAACTTTTTGTTTGACATCCGTCTAAAAACGATGCCACGTAGATTTGCCATGATAGAATAGCAGAAACCCTCAACAAATGAGGTTGCCTGCGTCAGCAGGTTCTCTTAATCTTCATAGATTTAGAATTGGTGGGCTCTTTGAGCGAAGGCGATCCTTGCAGGGATTTTTTCGTTCATGTGGGAGTGTGGAGTGTCGTGCACTCTGGTGCTGGAGGGCAATGGAGTCCGTCCCGCAATGAGGCGCCCTCCACGACACCAGCAGCAGCAGCACAAGGGAAGTGAAACACGAGCCGAGAGGGCATGGGACAGGAAGGAGCCAACACCAGAGCTGGCAGAATATCCGAGGGCTCACCTCGTTCAACTTGGCAGACATCTGTCGCCCGCCACTCGCTCATCCTCGTCACGCTGCCACCGCTACTCATCCATATCGCAAACTTGCACTCCATCCCGTTGAATGCCATCCTTTGAGGATCTTTGTGCGACAAGCAAGTCCCCGCTTTCTTATTCCGATTCATTATCCTTCCGACGTCCTTTGATTTTTTATTTATTTATTTATTTATTTTTACTTCCTGAGGAAGACACTGTTGTGGGTTGGTTTAGAGCTTGAGTGCAATGCCTTCCACGTGCCCGTCCTGCGCCAACTGCAGCCGTGATGATTCTTTACTTTACCCAGGAGGGATACAGACCGAGCAAGTGATGCCGCTCGTCATTTCTCTTTTTTGGCAACACCTGCGCGATCATCCCACGAGAAACCAGCTTCCTGGTTGAGAGCGAGTTTCCGTCGAGTTTGAGAGTGACCGAGAATGGGTCAGACCCTATCTTGTGATGAACTGAAGGGGTCGTGGCGGTGACAACAGGGTCGCACTTCGATTATGGAGACTTGGTGCTCTTCACCTGACTGGAGAGCTTGCGCGTGGCCAGAAGCCCTTCTCTAGACGAAATTCGGAGTTCGATCACCGAATTGAAGGATCACTGGAGTTGGATTAGAACATTTCATTTTAAGCGGTGGATTCGAGAAAAAATTTAGTGCACTGACGTCGATGGTTGTGAATGCTTTGGAGAAATTAAAATATTTTGTTTAGTGATTCGCACAGCTTCACCAAGGATTTATCACACTCTCTCTCTCTCTCTGTCGCGCGCGCGATTGAATACAGCCCTTTGCTTGCGCGGTGACGGATTGTTCAATGTTTTGTCCTCGATGGTGATAAGACCTTGACGATACAGAATTGCCGCGGTTGGACCAAATACAGGTGGGATTCTTCTTTCCGCCCTAATCTTGTTGTGAACATCGCCGAAATTCAGGTTGTTAAAATTTTCACCGTCTGGTAGCAGCAGTGTCGAAGTTTCTTTGCTGAAACAAGCAATCTAATTGTTGTCTTTGCACAAAAACCTGACCTAATGCATTTTAAGATCATAAAGAAGGTGCAGAGTTGGTCTGATATTGAGTGTACCCACAGCACCCGCAATTTGTTGCAACACTAATTAGTCATAAGAACGATTGAAATCCAACACTCAAAGGATGGTTTACAATTTGGACATCTTGAGAAATTATTCTTGGGCTCACATGTATATGTTGGGGTTTGTTGAAGTCAATGTGACCGAGGTCCAGATTGTTGTAGATTTCTGAGTATGCGAATAAACGTCCACAACTTCCCCAACAAGGTTGGAGGGTGGTGGCCATGGCCATGGCCTGGAGGAGACGACGACGACGACGACGGTCAGGCGGATGTGGCTGACCTAAACCCGGTGCTGCTAGTGCCTGGAATTGGAGGCTCCATCCTGAATGCCGTGAACGAGAAGGGTCGCGTGGAGCGTATCTGGGTGCGGCTCTTCGCCGCAGACCATGAGTTTCGGGCCAAGCTTTTCTCACTCTATGATCCTCTCACGGGAAAGACCAATTCTCTGGATCCCAACACTACCATTGAGGTTCCCGATGATCGTTACGGGCTTTATAGCTGCGATATCCTCGACCCGGCTGTGGTAATCTTCCTCGTTTCTGCAACTATTATAGATTTATTTTTGTTTCCTTCTGTTGCACCTGTTTGAATGGACGGTTTTTAAGGATTGGTTCCTGCGCTTGCATGTGGCAGATATTCCGGATGGACGATGTCTACTACTTCCATGATCTGATCAAGCAACTTACAGACTGGGGCTACCAGGAAGGCACCACGTTATTCGGCTTCGGCTACGACTTCCGGCAAAGCAACAGGTTGGCGGAGCACATGGATAAATTTAAAGCGAAGTTGGAGAGTATGCACAAAGCATCTGGGGGCAAGAAAGCTGACATCATCTCTCACTCCATGGGCGGTGTCTTTGTCAAATGCTTTCTGGCTCTTCACCACGATGTAACCTACGAATTACTATTCCACCACGAAGTTTTCATCTTTGATTCTGAAGCCTTTCCATGCTGTCTGTGTTCTTTGGTGCTGTGCCTTGGGATTAGTGTCGATCGTAATCAAAGTGCTAATGTTATAAAAAATCCGTGCGGCAGTTCTTTGAGCAGCATGTAAATAGCTGGATTGCAATCGCGGCCCCCTTTCAAGGTGCTCCCGGATTCATTATGGATTGCCTGCTCACCGGCGTGGAGTTCGTCAAGGGTTGGCAGCGGCAGCTCTTTGTGGCTAAATGGAGTATGCATCAACTGGTACAATGTTGGATTTAACCACCGCTGACTCAGTCGACTTGAATCACTGAATGCAATTGTAATTTTCTTCCTCAGTTGGATTGAAATACTCGACACATGCGTATGTACTCTTCTGGCGATATCAAGCCATTGATACGAAATATGTTTTTGTTTTTTGAGCTGCAGTTAATAGAGTGCCCTTCGGTGTACGAAATGATGGCTTCTGAAGACTTCCCATGGGCTGAACCCCCTGAGCTACGCTTGTGGCGGAAACAAAGTAGTGGTGAGGATAGAGAAAATACTAAAACTGAATCAGTTTTGGAACGATACGGACCGAAAGTTTATCTCGAAGTAATGAGTGCCGCACTCCGAGGAAACACGGTATGTTCACTTTTTTTGAGTAGGATGTCTATTGTCTGCATTTCCTGCCGCAACCTTTTCTTGCACAGTGATCATCGCTTAGGTATTGGCAGTTCATGTGTTATTAGGTCCCTAAATAAGTCGGCTCTTTTTAATTTTTATTGATGGTGAGGATGATGCAGATGAATTTCAACGGAGAAATCATTCCCACACCCATGAACACGGAAATCCTCAAGTGGGCGGAGAAAACCAGGCGCATTCTCGAAATTTCTGAGATGCCTGCCAGCTGCAAGTTTTACAATATCGTGGGGACCTCGAATGACACTCCTTTCCACACCTGGTCTGCTAAGTTGCCGCTGCTGTTCACCAAAACTTCTTGCATGACGTAGATCGTTGGTAGTCATGATGTGGGGCATTGTTTCCAGTAGAAAACGATCTAATTCGCATCATTCATTGTACGTCTTGAATGGCAGCTACGGCACCAAGGAGAATCCAATTGAGCAGCTCACCGACATCCTTGAATTGGAGGCTAATTTCTCCTTCGTGGATGGGGATGGGACCGTTCCTCTTGAGTCATCCATGGTATGCTCTGTCCTCATCAACCGCCGCGGACTTCTCCCTCCCACGGAAATGTACTTGAAACAAGTTGTGTGTGTTCAGGTTCAGGTTTTAGGCTTCACATAATATTCTGATAAGGACGATATGATTTTATTTGCAATAAGTGCGCGTGTTCAGGGCGATGAATTGAATGCTGCCATGAGAATCGGCATACCCGGGGATCATCGTGGCATCCTGAAGGACGAACGCCTCTTTCGGATTTTGAAACACTTTCTGAAAGTGGGTGAGCCAGACCCTTTCTATGATCCAATGTGGGATTTCGTTTTTATTCCAAGGCCCAGCTTGAAGCACGAGCTCGACCATGGCGTTAACCAAAGCAGCGCCGTGGATGTTGGTTTCGAGACCTGGAAGCTGATTGTCTGTGAAGAAAGTGTGGAGACTGTCCAGCAAGTCATCGAGACGGACGAACATTGCGTGATCTCGACCACTACGTCAGGTTTGTGCACGCGCACTTAAAATGTTTTTGTTACTACTGGCAGACTGGAATCTAAACAGGAGGGTTACTGCTGATGCAGGTTCCAGATTGTTGGACAAAGACTCAGTAGAGCCGGTAGTGGCACGCAATCGGACATCTTGGTTTTGGAGACGACACATATGATGTACTGTCTATTGTGAATGACCATCGATGCATTTTGGACATTCATTTGTATTTACTTTCTCCTGTCCCATTGCCGGTGACATGCAAATATATCGGCTAAATTGTGGACAAGATTCAAATATTTAAGACTGTCATTATTGACGATTATCGGATAGGCTCAATCTGCCAAGCCACTATTGACTGTTCAGATTCATTTACTGTATAGAAGTTAGCTGAACTCCGGTGGGCTACGCGAACACTTTGTTCGCCATATGGAGTACAATGTATCATATACTTCTGTATTATGGTGTGACCCAAATTTGGCCATCTGTTGTTTCCATCGCAATCAGCCTCAATTCTTCCATGCTTGTAGTTACAGTGGAAATGGTATGTATATCAAATTGATTTGTTTTGTGGATGTGATACACTGTTCTAAGCAGTGATGCTACAATTGCCGAACACTATGGCAAGAATAACTGACTGCAAAAGAGGACCAAAATCACTGGATGTGGAGCTTTCACCATTTTAACTCTTGCAGAATCCCTTGAAACATATCTCTCTCTCTCTCTCTCTCTCTCTACATATATAGAAGCTGAAGTCGACGAAGATGGGAGGAAAAGAAGACTGGCACTCAGCTCCGCGATGAAGCAGTCATGGAAAAAAATTAAATCCAAGCCGCAGGTAACAGAGCAGACAGGATTTCTTGGACAATAGCCGATTTGAAATGCACAAGGAAGATTAAAAGGAATCATGAAAAGGTAGGGTCGTGGTGATATATCCACGGAGGCGGTCAAAACGAAGAGTGGATAAGCGAAGAAAAGATGCTGCGGGGAAACGACACATGCATCCGCGTCATACGTGTCAGAAACTCACGCACCACCTTTTGCTGTCATTACTGCTCTTCCATCTCTCATGACCATCTCGCAGCGTCGCATTAGACATGGCTGAAAACAAGGATGTACCCTCGATGCATCTCCTATCGATGATCCTCGCATGACCGGGACAATCGCATCCGTGACAGCCCTAGTCTTTCCTCTGGAATCTCAGAAGCAAGATATTTGTAGGTTCTCTTGCGCCGACTCTCTGTTCACTGACAGCAAAAGCACTTTGGTGGAGCGGCGAGCATCAGCATGGATCATAGCGCGATTCTTAGTGCGCCATGGGCGCAGCTAACATAGGTAAGCGGCTCTTTCTCGACGCCTGTCGTTTTTTCTCATGTTTATGCTAGGGAATACATTTGGAAAATCTTGATGATTTCCACGCCGAGGTTGTGCTTACTGACAGTGGAGTTGCAGAATTTCTCTACTTGGATTTGGATTGTTCAATCTGGTTGTTTAATTTCATGGTCAACATCCTCCATCGCTACGATTTTCTTCGTTATTTTCTATTGGCTTCGAATCAATAACTTCTCTTGCAAGATTTTCTCGCATTTTGTGAGTAGTTAGCTTTCTGAATCGTTTTGTTCTTTCAGTTCGTATCAGTTCAATAGATGAGGATCAACTTGATGGTCTCAGAGAACGCAAACTGATGCTTTCTATGGCTCGAAAGAAGTATGGTTTCATCAGGAGCTTGTCTTGGAACGTGGCAGAGAGGTACATAGCGAAGCCTTCATAACATGATTATACTGATCTGCAGAGCGGAGCGTGCTCATATCTTATCAACTCCCAATTTGTCGACTTTTTGTGCCAAAACAAAGAATTGGAAAACAATTTACTGTACCTTCTCTTTTTACATCAAGAGTCCTCCATAGGTGGAAACTGTGAGGAGAGTATATACCCTTCTGTTTGAGGCTTTTTCTAGTTGTAATTTTTCCCTATCCTGAAGTAGAACACACGCAGCTCAAGGCGTAGTGAAAACGAATATCTTAGTTTAGGGGTAAGAGAGGAACGGTCATTTGTAATGATGGCACCTTTCATCGCTGTACCCTTGCACGCCGTAGCTCCCCAGGCCCAAGCACAGAAACACCAAGTCACGTCCCTAAACGGCAAATTAGTGATGGCATTGAATCCCGGCAGTAGCAGCAGCGGCAGCAGCAGAGGCATGGTATCCAGTCTGACGTCAGAAGGCGTGCAAATCAACGGCTGCCATGGTCAGAATATTCCAAAACTGGGGTCATTTAATAAAAGTTTTCTCAGCCACCTCATGAGCCAGCCATCACTATTAGAAAACGCAGAGTATGCTCTTGCAGGTATGCATCCTCGGAACTGTCGTCCAACATGTGATGCTAGCAATTTTCGACAAATTTGATATGAGGCTTAATTTTTGGTATCCACCTGACGACAAAGCTCTGGTTTTTTTTTGGGTTTGCAGAGTGTTGTACACATCTTGACATCGGTGAGGCCTATAGCTGCTGGGAGGCGGTCTCTGAGTTCGAGGATATCAAGGTACTCATTCCCTTCTATCATGTTTCTTATCTGGAACGGGTTTTCTGAGTTTTTTCTAGATTCGAGAACAAATGGCACGGGGTTTGGTCAATCCATGTTGTTGTGTTCATTGGACAGACTAGCTTCCGTTCGCTGCTTCCTCTCTTTTGTGAGAGTGTCTGTTCGTTTCGCTTGCAGTCCCATTGTCGTGCTCGACATTGTTGCCTGTGGCTGCCAAGGCATAAACATCTTTAGAGATACTATTGATCACACGTCTCTAATGTATTCCTTTGAAGCATACTCGATTCATTCGATCAGTCCATTAAGTCTGTTGATCGAAGTGCATTGTAAGTTGAGGTGTATCAGGTTGACCGTGGTGTTCCGACTGATGACGAACATGCACGCGCTTGTTGTCCTCTGAAGAGATTTGAGAACTTGGTCAGGCAATCAGGTCAGTTCTGTAAACGTCATATGATATGGTTCTTTGATAGTATTGCGGATGACGCGGGCCTGGAGAAGCGATGATGATTTCAAGAACTTTCTAGTGCTCTGGCCTCTGACCCTCCTCTTCTAGCGTTACACTAGTTAGCTAGGGACGCTGGAGCGGATAGCTCACTTTTGTCGGTGAAAGTGCAGGTGATGTGTCGGGGTTGATAGGCAACATTCGCCTGGTGGCCAAAACAGCAACAAAGCAATCACGATCAAAGGAGGTAGTTCGCACAATTGCAGAGAGGCCGGTGTTTGTCGATGATGGAGGCCTGCCTCAAGACCCAAATGCAGATGCATCACCAAGTCTGTTGCCAGAGTCCACCCTCGCACGACTTCTCCGATTCAACAGCTTCTCACCTCCATGGTTCACACGAAGGAATGATCATGAAATCGACTGAGTTGTGGGTTCACATCCTTCTCAGCTGGAAAGTGATAGAAAGCAGAGGTCGGGGAATGTGTGAGTGGTCAACATTAGTATAACGAACTGCTGTAGAAAGTTGCTGCAGGGCTTTGAATCGAAAACTGTAGGCTGAGGCAGTAGTATCTAGGCGCTTTGTTTGCAGCTGTTGTAATTCGTAATCAGCTGGTTGCAACGTGAAATTGGAAAGAAAGATAAGAGGAGAGGAGAGGAGAGGCGAGTGACCTCAGAGCAGCGATGCCCTGAACAGTGGAGGGGGACATCTCAATTCTCTGATTCGGAGACGCAACGTTTGAGCAATACATGCAAATCCTTCATCACAAACCATACTCAATATTGTCCTCTACATGCTGGGTTTCCAACTTCTACTCGTTTGTTTTTATGCATATTCCATTTTGAGTATTACATTTAAAACAATCCACTATTTATACGATATCTTTTTGTTTTACCAATCGATATATTCACAAATATACTGAAAGATTTGAATACTTTTTTTTTCGTCACTTTTGTAATAATAGTAATAATAATAATAACTTAAAAAAACCGGAATATTTTTTTGTTTTTGATGTGTATGTAAAAAGAGGGTGTTCAAGCTTTGGTCTTTTTAATTATGTTACTTGTTAATTTCAAATTGAACTGATTATGTAAGTTTTTTTTTTTTTTTTTTTTTTTTTTTTTAATTTGGGAAAGCGAAATTAGCATGAATATCATTTTAATACTCAAAATATGTGTGTTTGAGAGTTTAAATGTAATGAATCTCTTAGTGAAATTTAATAAAATTATTCCTTTTCAAATAATTTTATTATTTTTTTAGTTAAATATATTCCTAGTTTTTTTGAAATTCACCAATTCTTTGAATTTCAATCAATAATTATTTTTAGAGCCTTAAAAAAATAATAAATGCAAATACATACCTAAGTAATTTAAAAAATTAAAAATAATATTTAATAAAAAACTATACATAAATATTTAAATAAATATCTAATTTAAAACTGGAATATTGTGTGGCAAATTATGGTGCTAGTATATTAGCACAGTTATGATATTAATGAATAAATATAGAAAATAATACCAAACTTAATTATTATAATGTATAAAGTTTAAAAAAATTTAAATATCTATTCAAATTAATGAAAATATTAATAATTTAAAAAATATTAATTCCTTAAAGGCTATTAAATTTTAATTTATGTACTTATAAAAATTAGCTCAAAATCCTCAAAAAAATTGAGGTAATTTTTTTTCTATATCAAGTATAATATTTTTTTTTGAAATTTAAAAAATTTAAGATTTCTATTTTCATAAATATCAAATAATTTTTTCATATGAATATTCTTTCTTATGTTAAAAAAATCATCAAATATGTGTTTCTTTTGTAGATTATTGTGCAATTTAAGACAAGATTAAAAAAAAGTCTATCACTTGTACAAAGCTTAATACTTCTTTATAGCAATCATATCCTGAATAGCTTTTGAATTGGATGTAGATGTGATATTTGTATAGATATATATATATATATATATATATATATATAGATATAAGTAATTAATTAAGATAAGACAAGACTATACTGAGACAATAATTATTAGATTTAAAAAAATGACTTTGATATTGTTTATATAATTAAAGGTATGGTATTACATAGAAGTATATATATATATATATATATATACATACATATATAGACATATAATTTTTATCTATTTAAGGAATATGCATACATATAAAAAAAAAAAAATAGATTGAAACAAATTATCAAGCTATATATAACTCTAAAGAAGTTGAAAAATATAACTTTCAATATGCATTATAGTCTTATTAATTGACAATAAAATATATATATATATATATATATATACATATATACATAAGAAAATATTTTTAGAGCATCTTAAGACAAGGAATTCCTATTAGCACCAATGATGGTGTTGAATACTCTAACCTCAAAACAAGCTCTACTATGGCCCATTTAGTGGTCTCAATAGCCTGTTGTGGATACTCCTTTTTCTTATTATGGCCAAAGCATCCAGATTTTGACTATTAGTGGACTTATAGTGAAGAAACTATTAAGAAGCAAGAGAAGGAAGAAGATGGGAAAGAAGGAGGGAGGATAGAAGGGAGTTTGGAGTTAGTCTTAAAAGAGCCACTAAGAAGTGAGAAAGTGATGCCGAATATGGCTTGTACCAACTATCTCTTCTTGTACTTGGAGACCGCTCTGTGCTTGTATTTATTAAGGCATCATAAATCTATAGCATCCACCTCTTTGCATGCCTTGTTGGCATCAATGGATAGAAATGTCATAATTCTCACAAAGAGAAAATTTTATCTCCCTACCTTCTCTAGAATTGCAATAGTCAATTTTGAAATATAGAATTCAACAATTTCAACTTGTTTTTAGATGATAACTATTTTTGAGCAAACTAATCAATACAAATGCCTTGAATAAGTATGGCCTAATTTGTAAGGATGAAGAGATGAGCTAAATGGAAAAGAAAGGTGTGTTAGAACATTCATCCTACCTAATCATCTTCATTGATAACTATTGTAGACAAAAATTAGATCTTAGAATCATAGCAATGTACTTGATATTAAGCCTAATTTCAAGTATATTTATACTTGTGACTACTATAGTTACAATGTGTAGGTCTCACATCACTATTGTATTATTATTATTTATTATTTTTATTTTTTAATCTTATTATATTTATCTTTGATGATATTAGATTAGAAAATTTCTTATATTATTATATTTCTTAGTTCCTAGCCATATGTCAATCACTGATCTAAACTTCTTTTGATATTATAAACTAATCTTCTTTTGATAATACAACACAATATATTATAATCATTAACTTTTTCAACCATTCTGATATTAATAGATCTATGATTCTATCTCTTCAATATTAAGAAGTAATGTTCTTATTTCTTTTAGAAATAATAAAAGAAATATAGTATAGATTTACAAGACTAGATGAGTAATCTCAAAAGCATTTGCTTACGAAAAACCATACTAATGGGACCACAAAACTATAAACACTAGTCCATCACTATACAAAGTATTTTTAAAGAAAAAGATTTGTGGAACTTTAACAAATCACTACAAATAATTTTATCATCAAGCATTGCAACTGAGATACTAGAAAGAAAAAAATCTTTATCAAACAATGAAAAAACTCATATAGATACAGTTCATAGATAAAAATGGAGAGAAATGGCTATATTGTAGTTGTTACTTATTTCAGAGCTTTGACATAATATTATTGACATTTTAAATCTCCATCAAACATGGAAGTTACTCAATATCATATTTTGCACAAACACCATATTTAATATAATGATCATCTTGAATTAGTAGAAGCATCTTTGTATGACTAACCAATATAATATTTTAATCTTCATGCAACATGTGAATGACATTCTTTATGATTTCAAGGAAATAAATCAAATACAATCAAACAAGGATATAGTCCATTGCATTCCAAACCACTAGCCTAACAAGTTTGAAAAACTAATACTATAGATTCAATTAGAAAAAATTATATCCACTCTCCAAAAACTATTGAATAGAATATACATGGAAGAGATAAATGTAATCCTCAAGAAACTTCATGAAGTCTTAAATGAAATATTTTTAATGAAAATTATAAATACTTACAATCAAAGATTCAATCAAAGAAATGCACATTATTAACCTTTGAGATTTAACTAACACTACTAATAATATTTTTATTAATAATAGAATCTTATTGGACAATAAATAAAAACCATCATTTGTCATTGGTGAGGGAAGTTGAGACATACTTCTTGCTTTTGTAGACCCTCTATATTGATCTTCTACTAATTAAGTTTTTTTCATTAGAGCACCAATAGCTTGACACAAATTATATTATTATAGGATATTACAACATATCAAATTTAGGAGTGAATATTACAAAAGAGTATTTTAATGAGTCTCATTCACAAAATCTATCCAATAATTAAGTCACATTAGATGCATTAAAGCTTATGACATTTAGACACTCAAATATAATTGAATCATTGATTTAAGTACATCTAGACACCCAAACAATGATCTATTTTGTTAAAGAACATGAATCTTAAAAAACCAAAAATTATAACATCCACTAGAGGATATTTCCATATAATAGTTGGATAAGGGATAATTGATTTTTTTTTTATCTAATAATAAAATAAAATCTCTCAAAGATGTTGTTAAGAGAGTCAACCTCTTCAAAAAAATACAATGTCATATTGTGGTTCGGCTATCATGTGAAAATAATGTGATTATGTATTTAATGTATAATTTACTTAGCAACATGGTGAGAGCCATATTACTGGAAATTAATTGGTTGTAGAGTGTGGTTAAATTACTACTTTAAAAGGAGGTTATTTAAAAGGATTACTATTAGAATTTTTATAATTTTATTTTCTTTTGATAGTGGCTTTTGAGATTGATTTTTTTGGTAGTAACTTTAAATATTTAGAATCACCTTTATTAGACATTGGTGATCTTTGAAGTCTTATTTTGGTTCTTTAATTTGGTGTTTAGGGCATATATTGAGTAAATCTTTTGAAGAAAAGAATTGAAGAGGGATTTTGGTAGCAAAAAGAGAGTTTAGGGCATCCATATAGATGAATGGAGATGGATGATGAAAATCTCCATTCCTATTGGTCAAAAATCATGACCAATGGACTTCGAGGAGGCTGCCCAAGGCCATATTAGAGATTAGGATCAGTTTTTCGAAGGAATTTTAGCTTTGGAGGCTAGGATCATCAATTTTAGGTTTTTTTCTACAGTTTTGGTGCAAATTTTGTTTGATTTGGAGTTTATATGAAAGAGATATGGGCGCTCAAAGTTAGGGTGTTGATTTTGTACCTACTGTTGCTCTTTTGGATATAACACACGCGTACAGAAAGCAACAGAGAATCGACAACTAGGGTTGGAGAGAGAACTCTCTTGGCTATATTTTTGGTATATTATTTGATGGATTTAAAGTTTTAAAAAAAGAGATATTGGAGATTGAAGTCAGCACTTGCAAATCTAAAAGTAGTAAGTGACTCGAATTGCTAGTGGTTGTGTTTTAAGTTATATCTTGTGCAATTTGATAAGATTTTGGCTAAAAATTTCCAAGAATGTGTATTTTTATATAATCAAACTTTATATATAAGTTTTAAGATATTTGAGTTTTGGATTTGTGAGATATGAAGAAAATAGTACTTAGGTGCTTGTAAATTAGGGTTTTAGAGCACCTGCTAGGATTTTTAAGATGCCAAAGAATTGGTAGCGAATTTATAGTTGAACTTTTGTAAGATAAAGCTTAAGAATTAA